AGCAGCGTCAGCCTTCTGCACGGCGTTCGTGCAAAGGGTCTCACGCTGACATTCCCAAAGACTAAAATTCCCAAAGACTAAAAGATCGCGGGAAACAAGAACGCCTTTGAGGCCAGGGTCTGGCGTGCAGCGCAGCACTGGGTGGGGGGGCGGGGTGGGGACACAGCGGCCTGTGTGGGGGGAACAAAGGGCAGCGAGTGACGCCGATGCTGGGGGCCGGGGGGCGCTTCCCGAGTGATCTCATCAGAACACCCCCCCCCCACACACACACACACACACACACACAGAATTAGCCAGAGCCTCTGCATGAAGCCAGCTCTTCACGGAGGGTTGTCCGCCAGGCCGCACGCAGAGGGGGACGCTAGATATTTCTGAGGCAGATGTTTCCGGAAAACGCTCCACGACGGACACAATGGGGGACACTATGCCACGCTAAGAGGGCTCCTCAGTCGGCCCTTGTTCTGACATGCAGAGGAACAGCTGGTCTGTACCATGTGATCGCAATAATAATGAGGGCGTTACACTTAATATACTGAGAGGTGCCAAATATACTGAAAACACGGCATGATGCATTCATCCATCCATCCATCCATCCATCCTCTAATTGCTTTTCCAGGTTAGGGTCATGGGGGTGGGTCTGGAGCCCATCCCAGGCATCATGACACAGGAGAATATGCAAACTCACAAACCCAACCTGGGAGCCTAAGCGACCATAAAACCACAAGTTTTGGAAGTATGTAGATAAAGCTGATGTCAACCACACACTTAACTTGGTCAATCAGTATCTAATTACGTTACCCAACTGCAATAGGTCCATAAAACAGAGTGACTTTTGATGAAGCAGACTGCCAGGATTTATGCACATGGATGAACAATGAAGATTCTGTTCGTTTTATAGGAGAGGGGCCTTTCTGAAATTTCAGTCCTTATAACTCAGAGCCTTGAACCTATTCCATGCAGGGCCGAAGGCTGGGGAACACCCTGGACTAGATGACAGGTCACTGCAGGGAAGGCACACGATGATACTCAACCAGTCAACCGAACTACATGTCTCTGGACTGAGAAAAGAATCCTGATTACCTGGACGAAACTTCCAGATGGTTTTGACCCAATATGAACTAAAATGCAAACAAACCAATATCTTGGTTTCTACGGCAGAGACTGCCTACACACGATCAACAGTGGTCAACTTTGTTAAGTACATCATAGGCCAACGTTTGATACCATATACTTGACCCGGAGGGGGCGACCTGCACTTCTTTACAGGTGTGTGAAAAGGACAGGGGATCCCAGAGCAGCTACGGTCCCCTTGTTGTGGCCATGCTGTCAATGCCTGAAATGTGGCTGTATTACACACCCAGTTGAACGTGGGCTTAGACGTGGTGTCTTGGGTATTACAGTGAAGAGCTCAGAAGGAACAGGGGTGTGGAAAGTAAGGACTGGGGCAGTCATACCTGCATTTATAGTGTATAGTGCGGCCACAGGGGCATTAACCCCAGACAGGAGTGCCCAGTCACCTGTCACTCACCAATTCAAAACATATTACTGGCAGATAAGGTTGGGCAAACTAGGAATTATGGCCTCTCCCATCCCCCCCACCTTACTAAAATCCTAGAATGGTGCCTGACACTAATGCTTTGACCCTCAATACCTGTCATGTCCCTAGTGCTTTCAGACAACTCCATACATCTCTGCCAATCAAAACATGGCGCCTGATGCTTGATGGTGACGGTTAAGGTAAATGATCAACTTCTGACCCAAGAAACACCTGCTTTTCATAACTGCTTGAACTGGGAGTCTCATTGACTGAACTAGTAGTACACAGACGCTTTAAGAAACAATAACAATAATTTACGCCAATTAATCGGTCTAATGTGTCTAGACTCATCTCTTCCCAAACGATGAAAAGCTCATTAGGCAGAAATAACATTGCAGATAAAGAAATAACATCGACCGGGTCCTAAAAATAAGAAAACATCTTTCAGCCAAGACCAGTTCATCGTGAAATGTTAAAAGGAAAAACGAGTTTGACAGGAACATGGAAGGCAGCAAGACGACATAAAAACCGTCAACAAAGGGTGACCGATCTGCCCAATGGGCAAGCTGACCTGGGAGATCAGAAGGTACAACGAGAGAGGTCTGGCAGAGCATGGATGGATAGACGCACACGTGTGCAGGTCAGATATACATTACATTGTGAGTTCCAAATGTCCCCACAATGTGATAAAAACCTGATATTTTGACACTGTGGGGACCATTTTTTCGGTCCCCAAAAGGGCAAATCCAATTTTATAAAAATCTGTGACTGCGATCAAAAAACTAAAAATGCCAAGACTTTTATATTGTTTGGTTGTTTATGGTTAAGGTTAGAGCTGGGTAGAGGTTAAGGACATCATTGTTGGGATTAGAGTTTTACCCATAGAAACTAATGGAAGATCCCCACAAAGATATGAGTACAGGTCTGTGTGTGCATGTGTCTGTGTGATTCTGCATTTTCCCACACACATAAACCCACTCCTCTGAGATACAACCTTTCTTGCTTCCGTAACCCATGACAAAAATACATGCCATTAGGAAACCACAGGTCAAAATTAAAAAAAAAAAAAAACTATACAAAAAATACGCAAATATTCTGTGCACAGTAGGGCAGGTCTCACTCATCACAAATGCACACGGCAGTCTCTGTCCCATTTAAAAACCTACACTGCTTGTTCAGAAACCCAGAGCCCCAAGGATGGTTAATAACACAATCTCGAGATGACACCCTTGGGAAATCGGCCAATCAGGTGTTTTTGCGGAACACGGGCCTTGCCGTGAGCCGGAACGCAACTTCGTCAGATTCAGCAGGCTCTGGCAAGTAGCCAAGGCAACAGCGGATGGCCACATATTTTTGTTGGGTACAGCACCCATAACTGTAAAGGCCATCTGTGCTGAGGGGGACGCCATCATGCTGGCTGAGAATGTCTGCGAGGGGAGGTGATGGCGGGCAGCCCGCCGGATACCTAAACGCTGATGGCAAACGGTAAATGAGTAACCAAAACACACGACCTCTCCGGTGTGTGACTAATCAAGGGCAGACCGACATCTTCTCTCAGGCATGGAAGTAGAAAAAAAAAAAAAGAGAGAGAGAGAGAGAGGAGTCTCAATCACACACGGCCGTGCGAGACTCAGACTTTTAGCTTTCTGAGTCACATTGAGTGGGGGCCTGTCCAGCATATGATAGACTTACGCCGCTGAATCAGAGGGCAAGGTTCGCGGGGGGGGGGGGGGGGGGGAGGAATGACAATAAGAAGGGGGTTGCCCAGGTACTGGATTAGTCCCTGTGTTGTTTACATCCAATGAAAAGCTTTTCAAGTCGTAAACATGCTCGAGTGCAAATCAAAGATGGCAACTAATAAATCACAGAGGAGATGTCTGAAGACTTCAGGCCCTAGATGGACGAACCCTTCTGTCATACCCTTAGGAAAAACACTCATCCCGGATTTCTTCTGATGCACATCCAGCTATATAAACAAGTAAAGCTTTCATCTGTAAGCCATCAAGCACACTAATATGCGATAATCAATATATTTATCACTTATAAATCCATCTGTTTAAAGGCAGCAGGTGCTGTAGTGATTAATAATTTGGGAGCCAACTGGCTTAGAGGAAAAAGTCCTATCTAATCAAATCAGCATCGTGTTAAGGTCAACATCAACATTAAATGTAATAACAGCTTGTAGTATCTAATAACATAAAATTCACACAGGGATTTGTATGAGTTTAACTAAATGAACACTGATGCTTCAAATCTATTGGGCTGCTTAACCCACATGTAGTGTTAGGCAGAACTACGACCAACCTCAAAACTACTCAGAATGAGCAATATACTGAAAATAAAACATCTCTTACCAAACGAATACGACAAAAGGAATACGTCCAGTACAATAACATTTGTAGAATAAAGCCAAAATATCCCAATGGTCAAATCACGTTCGTGTAATGAGCGCCCATATGATCAACGGCAACACAAAACGCTGTCAGCTTGATGTCAGGAACAGCACTAAACGCGCTCCGCTGTTTCATTTAGGGATTCATAGCTTGGAGGCAGTTCTCAGAATTAAATCATACCGCAAGAAACAATTTCGGTTTCAGAACCTCTGTACTATTTTTAAAGTACACAGGAAAGGGACCGTCCCAATAATGGAAAAAGAGCGTACTAAGCCCAAAACTGCATTTATAATATTCGCAATTAACAGTGGCTTTCGGAGTTTTTCGGAAAAAAGGTACCACAAAGTTGCAATAATCCATGTTAGAGAGTTCACACACAGGCAAATAGACGTGTTAATTCACTATGCACGTCTCGCCTCCTACTCATTAATACGTGGTGAGCGCAGACATAAGTAACTGTAAGCTAAGTCAGCACCCCATCAGCCCCCCCCCCCCAAAAAAAAAAAATGAAATGAAAACAGCTTTTAGGGCACAGTAACAATAAGGTGCCGCAAACTGGACGCACAACAATGGCTGTGATGAGAAAAACGAGTCCGCACAAAAAAACAGTTAATTTCAACTTCTCCCGTAAGAGATATTTTAGCCTTAGATCAGATATGATAAGAGATAAGCAGTGCTACGGGGAAAAATAAAAATAATTAAAAAACACGAAATCGTGTATTGCACAAGCCAGAAACGGGACCGCTCCATTTTTAATGTAAGACATCGACTACTTGGCATGAGCCTCAAGCGTGGTGAAGATTATCTGGAGGGTCGTGATTCTGCCTAGACTGGGACTGAAATGTATGACGAGAATAAATTAAATGAACGAAAAATAGGCTTAACTCCCTGTTTTTATTCAAAAGGTACGGACTCCCCTTGATTGTCAAATGGTAATCTCTTTTGTAATTCATTATTGCTTGAATTGCATTGTTTTTTTTACCCCAGCACAACAACAACAACCCAAATTATTCATCCCGACCGGGTCGATCCCGTTCAAATCAGACAAAAAAAAATCACAAGTTACCCACCTTTGGCGTCAAACAAATGTCTTGTTTGACTTCGGTGTGTCTGATTCCAAGCAGATCTTTAACTCAGGCCGCCATTGATTAAGGTCTAAATGATTTCCAATTTCGCAGGGGATCGCCTCTGATCGCAGGAGGCAACACGCCTATCGCGGTGGTCAACTTGTCAAAATCACTGTTTTCGTTTCAAAAAATGAAGAGAGAGCGAATGCCGGCGGCGTTACAATGTAAGCAGCGCCGTGCAGAAGGCAGCCGTACTGCGGAGCGAAGCGCGTCGTCTTAATAGAGCCAAGGAAAGCGCCGCGGCATTGTTGATATCGACGAAAACACACAGAAAAGCAGAGCACTCCTTTGCATACCGCCGTCTGCGCAAAGCCATTGAACGGGCATATGGGGGAAAATGCCGTCCCGAACCGAAAATGAGGGATTGAGAGCCGCCTATGGACTCGTATTTTCATTGGTCTTTCATTTAAGGTGGGACGCTGGTGGATAGTGGCGAGTCTGGCCCTTTAAGGCCGCACAGTCTGCGCCTGAAACAGGAGCCCAGTTATACAGCACAAGCCCGTCCCGGACACAAATGCACTTTATTACGTATTTGTAGATATCGAGCAGTCAAGGGAATAATTTCAGGTAATAAACACACAAGATCCAAAATCCCAATAATTAAGTTAAATATAGAAAAGCCGAAAATTACACCTTAATCTTTGTTTATTTGTTCGCTTAATTACTTAAATAGTCATATCAAATTAAGTCGTCTCTTAGTCCCTTAATCCATTTTTCGGCACACAGATGTTTTCTTCTCGTACAGATTATTATATTTCACTGATGTTCATAACTGAATGTGGAAAAAAGAACCACACAAAAAATATTTTCCTTATCTTGGTGGTGATGGTGTTATCATATAGAGTTTGGTGAATTACAAACGCAATAGGAATTCAGTATTACCATCCCGCCAATACGTGAGGGCCATTTAAACGGAGAGTCCAACATATCCGGTATCCCATGTGGCTCCAGGATGGCTATGAAGTCTTCAGTCACGCAGTTTAAATCTGTAAAAACATGTAACAAATACTATGGTAGGAGAAAATCAAGCATGTAGATTTGGGTATGGATGGTAGATGCACGCCCCTACCAATAATTTGGGAGTACAGGTGTGTTTAGTGGGGTGGAGGGATCGGGGCTGATTTGGATCTTACCAATGTTCAACCTAAACCTACGCCCTTGGAGGAAATACACTTGGGTGATTGTATGTATGCCTTTGACAGACAGACGCCCTGATTGGCGTGTCCCTTTGCTCCAGGGATCGGCTGAAGGCTTACCCTGATCCAGTACAGAGGTGTTTCTAAACCCGGTCCTCAGGGACCCCCAGACATTACACATTTTTGCTCCCTCCCAGGGTCTCTGAGGACTACTATTTAAGCAGTTACAGAAGATGCATGGGTAGATACCATACTCACAAGTTCTGCAGCGTAAACAGAAAGCCAGCTGAACAAGCAGTCTGAATGTCTATGGGCGGCTAACAGGTTCATGCTTGTGCATTACACATCTCCATATCGCTAAACTACATTTATTTCCAGATGCCTACGTCCAACGCAGCTTACAGCAAGTTAGACAATACATCACCAAGCAAACAGCTGCCATACAGTCACCCTAATTAGATGGATCATAAGAAATGTACAAACGAGAGGCAATTCAGCCCATCAAGCTCGTTTGGGGAGAACTTAACTAATAGCTCAGAGATGTTAAAATCTTATCTAGCTCTGATTTAAAGGAACCCAGGGTGGCAAAGCTGAGCCTCTCATGCACCGTTCCAAACGCACAGCGGCAGCAGCTTCTAAATGGTGACTCCTGTCACACACTGGTAGGAAAAGGACCAACCAAGCATTTCAGGACATCTCCACCTCTGTGTTTTCCCCTCCACTGACAGAGATAAGGAACGGACTGACATTCATTATCTATCTAGCCTACAGGCCTCATTGAAAATACGAACTGATAAGGCTGAAGGGAAAGGTGCTTCTTTGTTTGACATTCCGCTCGAATGGTAATGAAAAACGGAAACTAAGTGCCCCATAAAAATCCAGATGAAACTGAGCTCCATGGCTTTCTGGCAAAGTTATTCTGTGTGGAACGCTACGACTTAACACAAGAAAAAAAAAAAGGTGAAGGAATGAGCCTTGGTGTACAATCCATCCATCCATCCATTTTCTGTAACCGCTTATGCTATTCAGGGTTGCGGGGGGTCCAGAGCCTGTCCTGGAGGATACGGGCAGAAGGCTTGGTGTACAAAGTTTATTTAATGTAACATTGATCAGTTTCACATTTGTCCATTTCATGCATTGCGTCAATATGCATGAAAAAGCGGAATGCAATTAAACAGGATGTCCGAACATACAAGAGTGATAAGGCGTTTGGTTCGTTGGAGGTGATTTCTTTCTGCTAAAAAGCAGTTTCAGCACATTCTCCGAGTTCCACACTGCTTCCAGGGAGGATAGTCTTACTCCTGTTATCCAAGGAGAACTCTTTCCCTCCAGGAAACTCTGAGACACAGAGGTGTCATCCTAGATCTGTAAGGATCTCTCACCCCTGGAAGGCTTCCACACAGTAATGTCATCCTTAAACATGAACCGCACTGCAGGGTACATTGCTTCTGCAAGGTATTCCCAGGTCCTCTGGGGTCTATGAAGCCTTTATGACCTGTAACCTATACTGGTTTATCACTTCTTAATTTTTTGTGGGAGTGTTATGGCACAGCACACCATTGGGTGTCCTTCAGCTACTTGCAAGTCATGTTCCAAGTCTAACATTAGTGTCAAAACACTGCTGCTGAAATAGCAACTTAGACACATTTTCTCACAAATGTATAATAAACTTGCCAACACCACCAGATTCGATCGCGCTAATCCTGTCCCAGGGTTTGAAACAATGGAGTGAAGTGCAACCATGCATTCCCCGTCACCAATGTCTGCCATGTAAACCGTTACATGTCCTTAATGTATTTTATGATTTATGTACCTTAGGTTTTACTAGAATCGTAGCTTTATTCTGGCGGTGGGGCTGAATATCAGCAGACTGATCTTATTTGTTAGCAGAAAATGCTATTAAGACAAAGTATGCAGGTAAGCCGTGCGTTTAAAGAGATCGCAGCGGAGAAAACTCTCCAGGACGCTAATACTATATTAAGACATGTTTGCAACTATCTAGTTTTAAATAAAGATTCACCGCTTAACCGCTAAAATGAAGCATTCTGCATTTTATTTAAAAACACTCATGAACGTGTTCCTTGTAAAGTTAACCCCAAGCAACGCCACTGTACTCTGAACAAAGGAAAACTATATCTATAAACGTCGGAATACATAATCAGATGAGGCAATACCTTAATTAAGAATGTAATTAGGCATGTTACTAATTACCGCATTATTGATAAACGGCTTACGGCTAAGACAACCTTTGCATACAGTTAAAAGCCACAAATATAGGCCTACTACATGAAGAGACTTGCTATTTGCAGCACATAACGACCACCAAGCATTTCTCTAATACCACGCATGCATACCAATCTTATCTCAAGCACAGAGCCGAGACTTTCGGATATGAAATCACACGGATATCGGATCACGGGCTTCCGGTATTTTGTCCCTCCCCTTAGATTAAAAATATTGATGCTCGTCACAATACCGCCCCCTGCCGTGGGCTCATTTATCTGCAACATGAACTGACAATTTTGCAGGGACGATGCATGTAGGCTATAAAAATATTTAAAGCATTTTTAACATGTAATGCTGGTTATATTTAAATAAACCTAATAACAGAGATACGTAAATGAGTGTGAAAGTTACACTGAAATTAAACTGAGCCGCTCTAAAATTATTTTGCTATTTCATGCCAGGTTTTAGAGGGGTGACATGCACCAGGTGGTTACCACTATTACCTCGCACCTCTGGGACCAGGATTCGAGTGTCCGCCTGGATTGCTTGTGTGTGGAGTTGTTGTGTGTGTTCTCCCCATTGTCATTGTGGGGTTTACTTCAGGTACTCTGGTTTCCAGTCCAAAAACATGCTGAAATTACTCAGAGTTACTGAAATTGGTAGATGTGAATGGTGTGTGAGCCCCTCATGCCCATAGCTTCTAGGATGGGCTCCAGACCCCTGAGGATGGATGGATGCATATTTCAGCAGCATGTCAGTCCTATTTTCCCTACAGGTTGTTCATGAATTGGACATTTGTAAGGAGCTGTCCATCCTGAGTCCCAACGAAAGTGTTTTCACCCCCCACCACAAAATAGATAAATAAATGCACGCTCAGATACATAATACTCATTACTTGCCTTTTTTACATCAGAGCGTAGGAAATATTACTCCTGCCACCTCTGCTCCTATCAAAGCTGAGCATTGAAATTATAGCAGTCTAATCTCTGCTCTTTCCTCCAAGCAGAAACTCTGAACAGTTTTGTCCACTATGGGTGACAGAATGTTTTTATTCATCCAAACCTTCACTTCAATAAAGCAGTTAGCTAGCGTGACATAGACGAGTTCAGGGCTGCCCAACCCCCCTCCTGCAGAGCTACCCCCCCTCAGAGCTCAGGTACAGCCCTAACTTAACACACCTGATACAGATAATCAGGCACTTCAGTTATATCTCAGTATGAGAACCGGCTTAACTTCAACATAGCTGACTGTAATACTGAGGTGATACTGAAGTGCCTGATTATCTGTATCAGGCGTGTTACAGATATTGAGCTGCTATAATTTCAATGCTCAGCTCTGATGACCTAAACTTCTACCGAAATAGCTCGGCATATAACTTTAACCTCATGTTAGATGCAAGCCTCTCATTCATAGCATGTGGATGCAGTGCCACAGTCATGTATCCTACAGCTGTGAAACACTTCCAAGCAAAGGGGTTTCCTCACTATTCAAGAGACTTGAGAGACTAATCCATGCTTTTGTATACAGTAGGTTAGGCTATTGTAATTAAACGCCATGCAGTGTATTCAAAAAGCAGCAGATCGATTTGTTACTCGGAGCAGAAAGTAGGAGCTTATAACCTGCTTTTTTCCACTACTTGCATACAAGGCACTCAAAGGTCAAGCACCTGCCTGCGTAACTGAACTGTCTGATCCTAGTAATTAGATTGCAGAATGTAGGTCTCCTTCTTATTCTGCATGTAAAAAACTGTTGCGGCTATAAAATTTAGCATCCTTGAAACTAACACTGCACACTCTTGCTAAGTAACTTGAGGCAATTGTGTTGTGAAAGGCGCTATTTAGGAATGACCTAAATAGAATCGGAGTTCACACACCCTGCACAGACATTTTTGCATCTTTGTACTTTTGGTGTTCTGTATCTCTCTCTGTTCAGGTGGTTCTCCGGTCTGGAAGCCTCGCCATACTCTTCCCGTCTCTCTCGAGGCGTCTTACCCGTCTCCTGTATTCTGAGAAAGTGCCACAGAGAGCACTGCCTGAGCCTTGGCGCTCGCTTGATCATGCTCCCTCTTCATGTGCTGCACTTTTTGCTCCGTTTGCACATCACTCTCTCTCACCAGCCCCTTGACATCACATTGCTCTTATTCAGTACTGTCAGTACTGTTTTACACTCCAGTCAGTTCATATACTGACATTTTACATTCTGTTCTTCTGTGTGTCTCCGTGTGTGTATACTATTTATATAATTTTAGGACTGCAGTTTAGCTGCATATTGTATTTATTGTATTTTGTCTGTAAAGTCATGTCTGACTGTCCTTCTGTCTGCACCATTTGTACCAAGTAAAATTCCTTGTGCGTGTTTGTACTTGGGGAGTATTTTACTCTTCTGTAAATATGCCCTTCTTTGTGTTTACTTTTGCTTAATAACTGACTTTGAATTCTGATTTGCCCTTTTCCGACCCTGGATGCTAGTATCCTGTTGTTCTTTTTTGACCTTTTATTACTGATGAAACTTATTTGTTGTACATGTTGTATATAAATCACCAATCATCAAGTAGGCCTACTCTAAGCATCCCTGACAATATGCATTAATTTAAGACGAGTGTTTATTGTAACAGGTGTGCTACATTTGACAGGTCATTTTCCTGATGAACAAAATCACTAAATGATTTAGAAACATTTTATGTTAATGACATTGTACTCTCATAAATGCTCAACACTACAAAATCGAATTAGAACACGACACACGGGAAAATAAGCACTACATACAATTTAATCAGGTTTATCATGATCATTAGCCATCACTGTCACTCTGGCAGATGTTTGACTTTCTTGCGTTTTGTATTGTCACCTTATTTGCACCACTCAAGTCACTGTTTCTTGAGAGGAAAGCCATCGTCACATCTACATACTCTAGATATCTGTATAGACGGAAACCACCATGAATTTTCTAAGTTACGGTGAAGCGATACGTCTTTCAGAGTTTGTCATGCGTAGAGATGTAGAGTGAATTCCACTATTTTGGCCAGTAGTGTACCTTTCACCTAAGTTAAAAAAAGAAGCGAAAAAACGCCGCCTAAAATGTAATTGAGTGAAATCATCATCAGTGTATTTGCGTGAGTGAAAGAATTTTTAAAAATGCAGATTTACAATTACTAATTAAATGGTTACACGTAGCATTTATGTGCTTAAAAACACGACATGTAGAACAGCCTTAAAAATGCGTAAAATGCGAAATCCCCGGGAGCTTCTTTGTGCTTTAGTGCCGTCAGATCTATGACTCACCCGTTTCATGCTGAGTCCGCAATAACACTAATTTTGCGGTGAGGTCGTTAACGTATAGGAGTGCATTACGACTCCGCGCATAATGAAGTAATTGTTCTCTGGATAATTTGCATTAAATTATAATACTTTGATCAATAGTGCTATAAAAGCAATTTCCCCCTATTTTAATCCAAGATTCGCAATGATCATGCTCACTCGAAAATAACTTACAAAAATCAAATTTAAATAGAGCTAAATCATTTCAGCCATGGACATGAATGTGTAGTTGTGCTGTTGGCAACAGATCCCTTGGTAATTGACCTTTGTGTGGTGGCATGTAGCTCAGTGGGTTTGGGCTCTATTCCCATTCTGGAAGGTTATGAGTTCAACTCCCATGGGTGTCAGAATGATCCCATCACTACTGAGCCCTTAAACCCAAACTGGCGTCGGGACACTAACTGACCCGACTCTTTGATCTCACTTATTCATCACTTTGAACAAAAGCACCTGCCAAATAAATGTACATTCATAACACAAATGTTGTTTCTTTGATGCAAACACCAGGGAACGACGAGTCCAAGCTGGTTAGGAGGACATTTATTGAGACACTACAGAACGAGTAAAAAATAACTCCACATCTAAATGCAGCACAGTCATTGCAGCAATAAAGGAGTACATTTGCATTAGTTACATCTAATATAGTGTCATTTAATTTATAATTTATAAATTAATTCCATATAGAGCCATTTCATACTTGTATGCCAAAGTCATAATTGTATTGGACATGCTGCCTCTGGTGGTGATTTCCTGTATATGAGTGTTTCTATGCACAAGTCTATATATTTTTATTGTGTTCCATGTGGAAGATACGGATGACAACGGAACAAGAACAAGGCAATCCATCTTCATGATGTTCTTGAGGCGGGAGAAAGGGCCCCCACCAGGTAGCATTCAAGGGCATCGGGAGGGACCAAATCAGCCCCCCCTCCAAAACACACGGTACACCCATGTACCTACCATCCATACCCAAATCTATACCATGGGACATTGTCTAGGTTTTGAGAAAGACAGGAATGTCCTGTCAACACTGGTGATTTGTAAGGGTTTCTTCCAATTTCCTATTTCTCCTGATGGACTCCTGATTTCAGGCTTAGCAACTTTAATCACTGGAAAAATGCCTCCCCCCGCAGTTTGGCAAATTTTATTGCCCCCTCCCAAAAAAAATCCCCCTATTCCCCACAACGGAATGTGATCAGTTATGGAACGATGGAACGAGACGACCAAGAGACCACAGTTAAACGGAAGGAAGATTCCGGCTCAGTCGTCGGTCTCCCGGGGCTCCGAGCAGGAGGAGCCGCTGGGGAAGAGCGCGTCGCTCTCCAGGGACAGGTTGCTGAGGTCCGTGATGCGGTTGCGCAGCAGGAAATGCGTCCGTCTCTGGAGCAGCCGCTGCTGCTCCTGCTTGAGCTCCACGTAGGAGCGCGAGAAGGTATGGAAGATGGACGTGACGGGGAAGGCCATAAGCAGGATGCCGCTCAGGATGCTACTGAGCGCCACCACCTGGCCGGGCACGCTGCGCGGCACCATGTCCCCATAGCCCACTGTCGTCATGGTGATGACGGCCCACCAGTAGGTGGCGGGGATGCTGCTGAATTCGCGCGCGCCCACCGCCGCCTCGCTCTCGGTCAGGTAGAGCAGCGGCGAGAACAGCGCGATGGCCACGCACAGGAAGAGCAGCAGCAGGCCGAACTCGCGCGTGCAGCGGCGGGCCGTCAGCCCCAGCGTCTGCAGGCCCAGCGAGTGGCGGGCCAGCCGCATGACGTAGAGGATGCGCAGGGCCCGCAGCACCCGCAGCACCAGCCCCACCTTATCCAGGTAGCTGCTGCCCGAGCCCAGCCGCTTGTCACCCTCGGAGGTGCCGTCCACCACCAGCGTGATGTAGTAGGGCAGGATGGCCACCACGTCGATGAGGTTCAGGGGCCGCCGCAGGAAAGCCAGCTTGCTGCGGTCCTGGATGAAGCGCAGCGTGAACTCCAGCGAGAACCAGGCCACGCAGACGGTCTCCACGATGAAGATGTTGTAGCACATCTGTGAGCATTTCCCCTGAAGGGAAACAGACAGCCGTCGTTGCAAGCCAGTCGTGCATGTATGCCGGGTCAGGCCATAAACCAGTGGCATTAAACTTTTTTTTACTCGGCCCCCCTACGGTTGATATATATGGGTCCAGATATTCCAGATATTCCAGATATGCATTATTATATTTTATGTTTCTGCTATCACATTTTCTCTTCTGCTAGTATGTCAGCATGGTGCCAGATTTATCACCGTTACATTACTAGTCGTAACAGTGCGGTGTATTAAATAGGTGGTGCCTGTCTATTTGACACATTTTAATTATTTTAATTTATTAGCGTCATATAATGTGCTCAGGCAAATAATGTGTTCACATTAAGGTTGCAATTTTGAAATAGATCTGCCCCCAGCTGAACCACCCCCCAAAAAAGTTCTGTTTTTTTTTTTCCCCTGGCCTGTGCCCACCTCCGCAATTCCTTCACACCCTGGGGTGGGGGCGTAGTTTGAATACCTCTGGCATGCCGCCCCCCGTCATGTGATCAGCCTGTCAGAATGGAAGACGACAAATGACAGCCAGGATAATCGAATTTTGCTTCAAGCCCTGAAGAGGGTGGGGCCGGCCCTGATATGTTGTCTGGGCGAACATGTGGACAAGTCAGCTTACCCACCTGTTACACTCCCATTGTATTTCCTGTTTTCTCTTTCATTCTTAATCTATCTGACTGAATTTAATCTCGTCTCAGTTAAATTACATACAGCGGGCACAATGGGAATTTCACGCACTACAGCTCTGGCTGTACTGGCTCTCTGCCACTAGGGGGAACTGCAGCTACAGGAATGAGCAAAAACGCAACCTGAGCGCTTCACTGTGTGGCGCCTTCGCTCCTCGCTCAGTGTATGGAGGGACGTGATCTCGGCTCCTTCATACATATCATATGTATCCTTGGACTACGAGTGTCCAAACGTTTTTTTTGCCTTGTCACTCTGCCTTTATTCTTAAGTATTTGATAACAATTAAAGTATAACTCCGGAACATTTTGCTTGTTTATAATTAACTGTTTTCAGGCGTGGCTTTGCTATTTCAGTCGTGAAATAAAGTCTGTCCAAACATTCTTTGAAAATAAAACCTATCGCCAATATTTTGAGTTACAAACGGGCTGTATTGCGGATTTTCATGTGGTAGCTATTGTTTAATTCATGATGCTGATGATGTCTTTAATCGAAGTCAGCTTGAGGATACTTCTACAACCAAGACCAATATTTTATCTCTAGGTATTTGTGTCTTTTTCGTGAATTAATAGTTATAATAACGTAATTGATGAGCTAATCTAATAAAGCCAATCATCAGATCAGATGTGCGGCTTGTTTATTTTTAGGAGAAATGTGTTCCTGTTGATAGAATGTGCTGTAAAACACGGTGTCGGTAGAATTTCCTGATACGGCACTTTGCCAGATATGTGTGAGAACTGGCGGCATGTGCAATCAGATAGGCCTCCTATAGTTCTATGTTGGTAGCAAATATCGATAGCTACAGCTATCGATATGTAGGACAACCCGACACAAAATCTGTAACGGAGGGTCATGTCATCCGGGGGCTCCGGTATATGGCGATCCCTGTCCCAGTCAGTAATCCAATTTTCCAGTAAACTGCACTCTGGAAATCCAGAGGATCTCGACACTGTATCGCGGCGACGTGATCGTATTACCCCCAGATCAAGCGGAGGACGGTGCCCAGCATACTCTGAAGTAGCCAAGCACTTAACTGGATAGGATATAAACGCTACGGATTTGCTTAAGATTAAATACGATCAGCATGGATTGCCTAAAATCCACGTGCCCAACACCATTTCAGACCATACGCGTTTGCTCTTCCTCAATCTGAATGTAATTTTTACAGGGAGCGTTTACAATCTAATTACGCCACAAACTGATGTCAGCCTCGATAATGAGCACCTTAATTCAATTTGTAATTTTCTTTCTCAATGCACCAGCCGGCCATTCAGTGCAGCGCGTTTGATTCAAGCCTTTCTGGTCTCCGCGTGCCTGGAAGTATTCTCATTATTCCACGAATCAGCACCACGTCGCTCTTTTGTTAGCTCATAAAGCAGAGCTTTAATTAAACTTACGTTCCACCTTGCCATCGCTATGATGAAAGGGTATTTCTTAGTCCAAATTAGTACTCACAGGGCGTTACTTTCCCGAAATACAGAACATGCCGCGTGAGGGATTTATAGAGGAAAAGTGTGAAACTAAAGCTCTGTTTCCAAGCCTGTGCTGGTTCTCATTTATTCTCATCATTCAGTGGTGTGATTGAAGTCACTGACAGGATGAAAAATCCTACCCTGGGTTTTAAGTGTAAATGAGCCACTAATGAATATTTAATAAAACAATATTATCCTTGAGGACAGGGACGGTCCCACAGGGAGATCCACGGAGAGGGAACCAGCCTCGTGCGGAGAACTCACCTCCTCCTCTTCCTGCCTCATGGCTGGCATGGTGCTAATGGACAGGTTGATGGCGGTGATGGTGACGAAGAGGACGGACAGGCAGGCGAAGATCTTTCCGGGCAGACCTGAGTGGGGTCTCTCCACCATGTCCCTGAGGCGCCCCATGCACACGGCATGCCACGACTCCTGGGCCAGCGGCTCGTGTAGGCCGCCCTCAGCCTCCAGGAGCTCCTCCTCCTCGGCGCGGTCCAGCTCCTCGCACTCCTCGATGCGCTGCAGGAGGCGCCGGTGGCAGCACCACTCCAGGCACTCCTCGGGGATGCCCCAGTAGAGGAGCTCCTCGCGGAAGGAGAGGGCGCAGGTCTCGCGCAGCGCCCGCAGCTTGCCAGCACGCAGGAAGGTCAGGATGTTGCGGAAGGCGCACGGGTTGCGGTCGAAGAAGAACTCGTTGCAGGTGACGTCGTAGTCGTCGCACACGCGCATGATCTCGTCGAAGTTGCTGCAGGCCCGCAGCTGGCCCAGCCGTGTGAGCGGGAAGTCCTCGAGCGTGGTCCAGGGCAGCTGGTAACGGAGGCCGCCCACATTAATGATGGCGTGGAGCTTACGGGCACTGGGCAGGGGCACCTCACCTCCACCCTTGCCCAGCGGAAGGAGCTGGGCCCGTTGGTAGAAGGTGCCCTTGAGGGCCTGTCTCTCCTGGTGGAGGGCAGGGCCGCTGAGCGACGACTCCGAGGCACAGCTCAGAGCACTGTAGTCGTAGTCTGAGCCATCTCCCGCCAGCAGAGTCATGTTTGAGTCAAGCCGCTGTCACATGCCTGAGCCACCCGCTCGCTGTCACACTGCCACCTGCTGGAGGAAACAGGCAAATTCATTACAATCTCACACCTTCTCATGACACTTATTTATTTTTACTTAAAAACTGTTTTTATTCATAAAAATCAGTGTGGACTATACCGATATCACAACAAGGTTTTACACAGTGTCCCACATGCATAATACGAAGAAGCTGGGGCGCTGCTAAAGATTTTGGGCCCCATGAAAGCATATCATATTGGGCCCCAGTCCAGACCAATCCAGTTAATTTCCAAATTTTTGGAATCGTCCTAATTAGTCCCCCCACTAAAAAGGCCATAACATTTTTTAATAGTTTATATTATTTTAACTGCCATTATAGTGATTATATAAATACTACTATTGTTATATTATTATTGTTGAATACAATGATATTAACAACTAGTGGTATCCAGGAATCTACCAGCAGTGTTCTACTTAACTTAATACATGAAACACAAACGATGCGGTTCCACGCTTAGAACCGGAGCTGGTGACGGGTTCAACGAGGGTGTTAGCGGGAGATGAAGGACAGCGCGATCGGCTCGTTTGTGGAGGGAATTGGGACTCTCTCAAACCGTTTCTATTTCGGACACATTCTCTCTTGCTCGTCTCACCCAGACCTCCGCACACTCCATCTTTCACACCCTTTCATTCTCTCACTTGATATGTAAATTCTCCATCGCTTGGGGATTGCAGACACACACACACACACACACACACACACACACACACACATGAAACGTCTAAAATCCCCCTGGTGTTTAACCTGCCAGGAGTCACAATGGCTCAGTCTAAAGCCACAGATCACAACCGATTCTGACATTTTGCATATAATTAGTGATACTCGCCTTGATAAGAAAATGCGGCTTATTAGGATTCAGGATTTCTTGTCACTATTACAATGCACTAAAGTTTATTTTCCATAAGGTGAAATAATCACCACTTCATAATCATGCTTAAAATAAAGGTGATTTTCCATTGGCATTCAGGGCTGATTTTATACCTTCATACCATAATTATTATACATTTTTAAACTTCCTCTGACCCCCAGGAAAGGAAGCCATTTTTATTGAATGGGTTCATCAATGAACACATGGAAACAATGTTTGGTTGGCAAATAATCTTATAATGTTATGTTTTTATATATCCAGACTGGTGCTGCTGGGAGACTCGGATGTATTCGCTCCAAAACACCATGGTAACTACAAGCCGTAGCTGCACCCAGACACACAGAACTAAACCGTTTTCACGTTCCTGCCCGCCAGTTGTAATTAAATATTTGCACCTCTACTTCAGTTTTACTTCTAAGTCTGGGCTCAAATCAGTTAAATATGTTCACTGCTTAAGTTCACTCACGTGAGCTGCTGGAAAATGAGCTTCAAAGCCTTCCAAGGTTCCTATAGCCATCAAGGCAGGAGGAAACGATCGGCGCTCTTAAAGACCGACGTCCGCTGATTATTAATCCTGAAAATCAATGGTTGGAGATGATGAACTGCCTTAAGCTTGTTTGTGGGTCTGTGTCTCCCACATTCTGGCAAGGCATGGATTTCAGCAGAGGTACGTGTGAATGTTCACAGATGGTGGAAAGGGGCACCAGAAGTCTGCAGAGACTCCACACACGAGGACATTTCATTTAACTTATTTAGAAGACGCCTTTATCCAGAGCAACCACAATCCCTGGAGCAATTAGGGTTTTAGAGGCCTTGCTCAAGATGCAAGCACCCTGCTGATGCTGGGATTTGAACTAATGACCTTCAAATCACAGATGCAGCATCATAACTCACTGAACCACACACCACTTCCTGCACTTACAACCCAAGGTTCTTCCCAAGCCTGAGGTTCCAGGAGCAGTGCTGTTTAATTCTATGGCCCTTCTGTGAGCAGAGTGACCCAGAGGACGAGGAGAGTCAAGTACAGATCTTGAAGTACTCTACCATATGTCATGACACTACAGCACAGATAGGGGGCGCTTAATGGCTGGCCTGTTGCCTCATTGCTCTCCTTCCGGAACAAGAGATCACAAACAACTACCTGTTGGCCATTTAAGTGCTAATCTGTGGAAGCCTGGTCTGAAAATTCAGCTTGGCGTGTAGGAAAGTGCAACCAGGGCTGGGTATGAAGTTCGCTCAGTCCCCTGAGGTGAGCAATTTAGAAAAAGGACGAGCAAAAAAAAAAAACTGAACATTAGCCCGCTGGCTACTAATAATCTGCTTGTCGGACTATGTGAAAAACCTCATTATATTGTGTGTTCATCTCGCAGCACAGGTAAGCAGACCACCGTACACAGACCACCATATGCAGACCACCGTCTGGGTGACAATGTGCAGGGTCTTCAGGGCCAGTCTCCTCAGACTCGTCCCGGTTGGGCAATAAATTGAACGGCCTGATCAATTGGTGTCCGGTGACAGAGTTAGTGAAGATGTTACAAGCTAAACCGAAAGAAATTGAAAAACAAGCTAGATTTAATGCACTTTTTTTTCCTCAAACACCACTTTTTTCCCCTTGTTTTTTTTATTTTGCTCTTTATGTTTGAGAATTACATTGTGGGTTAGTGAAAAATTTTGTCAGCTACATTTTTTACAGAACTAGCTCGGCGGGCTAGTAGCAGAAATTCTCAAGTTCCACCCCTGAGTGGAAATGAAAAACGACTTTAGATGTACGCAAACTTTCACGCTGCAGGGCCCCGGCTCTGAGCCCGGCTTGTTACCGCCGTCTCGTGTGTCGGGTAATTAGCGGCTCACGTTCTCACGCCGCCCGTGAGTCATCCTTGCTGCAGAGTCGGTCTTGTCCTTGGTGCGATGCCCAAAAGGAGCGCCTTAATAATAATAATAATCGGTCCCTGTCTGTCCTTCTGGTCCAAGTCATGTCGACTGCCATTGAGCCGGGTCTTGCTGAGGATGCTAAATAGCTCAAAACAGACGACTGACGCATGCGTGTCCCCAGCAGCAGAAGGTGCGTCCTCCCTCTTGCAGAGACGTGTTGGGCTCTTCGCCTCCGTCTTCCAGCTCAGTGAGCAGATGGCCTTTGCACATGCATGGCGGGAACACGCACTCTTGTGGGATGCTGGCGAGAGCGCGCTGGCACGCTCGTCCCGCCGCTCCAGGCGGCCCCCGGCGTATCGAGGCAACGGAAAAGCCCGCCGAAGTCCTCCCAGCAGACCTCCCGATGGTCTGCTCCCCCCATCGAGCTGTTTGCACTCGGGACGCCATCCTGGGGATTTTTTTTGCCGCCAGATTGCCTGTGAGTCACGCATGCATGCAAACCCACCAAAGGTGCTTAGAGACTCCATTTTCTTATTAAGTTTTATGCTTTGCTGGACTGAAGTGACGATATACAGTAGGGCCAGCTAAGTGCCTTCCAGTATGTGGCCCAGTGGGTTAGGCCAACGATTAGAAGGTTGCCAGTGCAAATCTGGCCTGTTGCAGAATAATCACAGGTCCATTGGACCCTTGAGCAAGGCTTTTAACCTCCTGATACGGTCCAGGGGCACCAGATACTGGTACTCAGACACCAAGCTCCAGTATCAACTGTGTATGTGTGTCTCAAAGGAGAGCAAGATGTTCTTATGGGGGATTTCTTAGTCAGAGTTCTTTGGAAGCTCAGCCTAGCTGCACTCATTTGGCACCATGTACGTCGTTTGTCATTTTGGACAAAAGCATCTGCTAAATGTAAAAATGTAAATGTAAGGTGGAATATGTGAAAAAGAAGGATTCCAGTGTATCTGTATGCGTGCAAATGGCCAACAAAGCATCATTGTTGAGGGGCATCAGTTTGAGATTAAACAATGGAATTAGCGGATCTGCTGTCACTAAATTGCCCTTAGTGTGTGTTTGAGTGTGTGGTGCTGCCTGCCTTGTGCTTCCTGGTGAAGCCTAAACCCAACCCTGTGCTGGGGCGGCGTGTGGCTCGGTGGGCTAAGCCTCTGTGCCTGCGATCTGAAGGTTGGTGGCTTGAGCTTGGCTTTGGCACATCTGCGGGTCCTTGGGCGAGGCCCTTAACCCCCAGCTGTCTGGGTATTGCTATGGGAGACATAAAGAAAATTTCCCCCCAGGGGTCAATAAAATGTTCATTATTATTATTGATATGCAGTCAAGGAAGATGGATGGATACCATACACAGGGACAATTCTAGGATTTTTTTAAGGTGGGGGGGGGGGCATAAGAGGGACATAATTCAAACAGATAGCCAACATTATCAGCCAATGATTTGTTTTGAATTGATGATTGACAGGGGACAGGGGCACTCTGAAGCCCAATCAGCTTTCAGCTGGGGCTAGTGTCCCTGTAGCCCCACCCCTCTGTATGTCCCAAACCATACATCCTACACAGAGTAAAGGAAAAGCCGGTGGAACACGCAAGCTGTACTTAAATATTAGCGGAAAGCTTGTGCGTCACACATTCCCACTTCCCTAATTCCGAAATTCCAAATGCCCAGTTTCACAGTTGCTAAATAGCTGCTCCAGTCATATGCAAGTATGAGAATAACCAACCACAAAAACTGTCCCAACATTTCAGGACATCTCCACCTCTGTGTTTTCCCTTCCACTGACAGAGATAAGGAACGGACTGACATTCATTATCTATCTAGCCTACAGGCCTCATTGAAAATACGAACTGATAAGGCTGAAGGGAAAGGTGCTTCTTTGTTTGAAATTCCGCTCCAGTAGTAATGAGAAACAGGGACTAAACGCCCCAGAAATGAGTCGGAGGAATTTGAAAGCACAAACAGCTCCTCTGTGTGCTACATTCCCTTCGGTGGAAGACGCGCATGCAGAAATAATGTTTTACGGGTATTACGAGGCTGTGCCGTTTTTGCAGATTAAAAGCGATGGATTGAAAACAGGTACAGAAGAAGCTAATTTGAGTCTGTGTGTAAGTGTAACACCAGCTCAACACCCTCATCTGTTTTATGGCTGCGTTCCCCTCAGTGTCAGCAAGATAAAGGAAATTGCACATTTTCCGCAGCAAAGGTGACTGCTGTTTTGCAGTACATAAGTAAGCTCACTAGGATTAAAATTAAAATAATTGTCCATAATCAAAAAGGTTAAAGTTTAAAGGTGTTTAAAAGGTTTTGTGTTACTTGTGTGCTACTGTGTGGAAATTTTTGAGAAATGCACAGGAGGTCTAGCTGGTGGTGTGATAAAATAATCCATTAACAACGTGCACTATCCAGATAAGAAAAAAACATCAGGATTTATGGCGCCGATGGTAATTGTTTTTGTTACAGTTGGGCAGCCAGTTTTAATATAAATATCAAGCTGGACAATAAGACTGTGATGCTTTATTTGCTTATGAGATGATGTATAACCCCCCCCCCACCCCTGGCGGCAGTGTGCCACCATGCAATTAGACACGCGTGTGGGGGTGGGGGGTGATCACTCAGCCTCAAAAGTGATTTCACAAGGTCCTGCATCGCAACACATTCAGCAAAGTGTGCCAGGAACGACGGCTGGTCGTCAGAGGTCTCCATAAAAAGGACCGTTCACAGGCAGCAGTCTGTTCACAACTACCTATATCCTTGCTCACTGTTTTTACAGTTTTTACTATTTTGCAGTAATTTTATTTTTATCATTTTAATCTTTTTTATTGTTATGTTTTTTTCCCATTTTGTTTTTCTTTGTATTAGGTATTTTCTTTCCAGCACAATCCAGGAAGTAGGTGGAAAAGCACTTTGTTATACAGATGCAAAGTGTTCAACTAAAACTTGAAGCTTGAGCTTGATTTGCTTTAGCAAAGAATGAAGGGGAACAACAGCCAGCGTGATCCAAGTAATAATATGATAAGGAGTAAATGAGGAGTAATGAAGAGTAAAAGAGGAGTAAACGAGGAATAAACTCTGACCACAAATTGCAGGCCAGTTTAATCCAGGACTGGGAAAACATTTCTCTACATAAACAGCAGTTTGGAATTAAGTAAGCAGCATATTTATATAAACATACACACATACAGGGGCGCCGTAACGGGGGAAGTTAGTACAATTCCAGGGGAGTGACAGAGGTCCTAAAAACGTGGAACATAATTGGATTATTCTGAGTCGGAGGCCCGGTATGATATGATTTCATGGGGCCTAAAATGTGCATTAACACCCCTGCACACATATACAGTATCATGCAAAAGTCAGGCAGAGAAAATGTTTCATCTATTCGTTAAATTTCACAACCAGCTCACTTAACAAATTAACTTAAATAGTCATGTAATTAGATGAGGTATTGATTAGTCAAACATGTTCTGCTAGTGGATAAGTCAATAAACACATGGCTACATTAGATGGTTACTGATATATGGGTATTTTAGATGGGGGACTTTAGGAGAGATTTTGAAATGGCTAAACCAGCACACTTTGATAGATATCAAACCTGATCTACGCCAACGCGAAAATCATTTAAACATAAATTTCTATGAAAACCATGGACTTGTGCACAGTGCTGAATATTTCTATGTAATTACATATTTACACACACAGTG